ATAACCATGAACTTGAACCCTCGCAGAGCTGCTTGAGCAAGACTGTACAAGACATGCGACAAAAAGCGGCAAAAAGTGGTTCCCCAATTGGTTCCCTTCAATCTACTGATAAACTACTCTCAACCTAACCCAAAAGGCCAGCACAATTCCTGCTGAGCCGCTTTTGGCGAAGGTTTGGTGTAGGCAGTGACCTGGGAGCAAAGTTGGGCCACATTGACACTGTTGCTAGTGTCCTCTCCAAACATAAACCAAACATAAACAAAGAAAGGCTCTTTGTGAGCGGTGAGAAAAAGTATTGGTGAAATTTGATTCCCAATGGTTCCCGCATCTTCACATTTCACTTGAACAAATACCATATGAGAGTACATTAACCTTCCACACTGAACTCCATCTATTCCAAAACCAAAGCGCTGCAAAACAAACCACCCAAAGTTTAATACAAACGCAAAGCACGCCAACTGTGCCAAAGAATCGCTTTCATTAGATTTCTACACGCGTCCGGGGTAGTTTGTGTTTGAATTGCTTCGAACTTCTTGAACGGGTTTTGTGCGCTCCGTTCGGCTTAATCAAGTTTTATATATACACCAAATACGGGTCATATGTCCTGTGACCACTCCGTTAAACCCATGCCTCATCTTTCGTGAAACATGTTATCTTTCACCGCCTTATCAAACGAGTGACTCCGAGTGCCTCCTTCTATCTACCTGAGAAGACGTGTAACCTTAAATGGAAAGTCCTTGGCGATCGTTATCCTCCAGGCCATGTGTTTCCCTTCCCAGGCCTGTTCCTATGTTTAAAAGCTGTCAACATCGAAAACTGAACGTCTATTACCTCAGTATTGTTGTACTGCACCTTCCCGTTCATAAACATGTGTTGCCCTTTATAGAATGTTCCTTCATACAAGTTTCCTGCCTTATCCAAAGAGTTACTTCTCCGTAACACAAGACTTGCCCGAACTTACAAACTATTCGATCCAACAGCTGAAGGGAAGTCTGCATGCCACGAAGGGTGAAGTCAAGGGAGATGTATTATGGCAGCTCCGGTCTCACAGAAGCGCCCGGCTGCATGAGCAAGCAAGAACTTAGAAAGGCCTCCAAGGATTAAAAAGAAAAAAGAACTGCGGTCTCTTGCGTCAATGGGTCGACTCCGACAGCTCTTTTTAGCGCTTTCATGAACTTGACCTCGCAACAGTCCTGCTTGGACATGTGCAGAACAAAATCAAAGAAAAACCACCGAAGTTCAAAGGCTGGTGCCGGAGCTTGCTGTCCATTGCCCTGTTAGCAGGTGCATGCCGACATTCAGCCACTCAAACTGCCTTCAGCCGCAAACTGGCCACTCAAAAACCCTGCCTTGTCCCAGGAGTTCGAGTTCCACGGTTTCCCGGACTTCTCCGACTTGTCCCACTTGTCCTTCCCTGGACAATGCGATCGGCATTTGTAAGATTGATAGCAGGCGAAAGCTGCTATCATGTGGTGTTCGGGTCGTGTATGTCAATTGGTCTTTGATTTTTGGGAGAGGACCGAGAGGACCCCATCCAAGACCAACGCATTTAGGGCCTTGGTCCCATTTCTTCCAGCCACTTTGGCCGCCCCACTTTCCTGGCAGATCTTCAGCCAGGACTGGATTTTGTGTCACAGCCAGGAGCAGCAAAACAAAACGAAAATACGAAGAAGTGAATCCAACACGAATGACTAATCCAACCTCCATCATCCACATACTGCCTGCAAAAGAATCGAGTCATGGTCATGAACCTCTTTTCTTTGCGGAGAAACTATAAAAACAACGAAGAGAGACCCCCAAAAAATAACCCCAGTGATCCGTTTGGATCAAGATGTTTACTAAACCCTGCGTTTCTCCCTTCTCACAGTGCCAAGTCGTGGCCTGGCTTCCTTTCTGAGCCAGGTCCTGGCTGCATCTCGCAGTGCTTGCGGAAAAAGAATGGAAAAACTGCCATACGGAGTCTGCTCAGCTTCGGCCAAGAATCTGAGGTGATTCAATCTCTTCAGCTTGTTCAACCAGTTTCTTCAGCACCTGTCCACTGGCGCCACATCAAGCTTAGGGCAAGAAACTACTAGGAGCAAGAAGCTACTAGTCTAAGCCACCTCTTCACATGGAAGATTGAGAATGTCGTGGAACCCCTGGTTCAGCATCTCCGGATGTCACCAGCCCTTCAAAAAAAACGGTCGCTCCCCGGCCTGCATTGCATCTGTATGCTCAAGGGGCTGCAAAATGTCCAAGACCTGATCGGCACCCGCCGGTGTCGGCCGTGAGTCCGCCGCGCATCCGTGAGTCCGTTCGGCTTCACAGCGTTCAGGCTAAGTGGAATGCATTGCCCATGTGGAGTGGGTAGGCCAGTGTGACATTGCTGTTAACCCATCGGATTCTCCTGCCACAAGGGGAAGCTTCTTGTGAAAGTGAAAGGTGTCGGAAATCATACTACCGCGCGCCACCAGCTGCCTCATCAAGTTACCAATCTGCCGTGCGACTTTTTCATCCGCAGATCCACGCCCACTCTGATGGATTTTCCTGCGGAAGGAAGGCTTATCCAGAGTCGGGTGGCTTCCACCATTGTGTACATGTATCATACAATGTATATATATTATATATACACACCTATACTATGCATACACATGCCGCGTTACTTACCCGTTGTGTATTCTTCTTCTTCTTCTTCTTCCTCTTCCTCTTCCTCTTCCTCTTCTTCTTCTTCTTCTTCTTCTTCTTGATTCTGCGTTCTTGATTCTTCGTTTCTTGCTTTGAGAAAGAACAGAATGGACAACCAACCACTGGTAGACCTAAGGGGGTTTTCATGGGGAGGGTTAGGCCCTGGCGTCTTTGACCCCACTTTCGGTGGAACACTGACACAGCCGCCAAAACGGTTGTCAAACATGAGGGTTGCCCATTGGAAAGAGGTGTTGTATTTAGCCACCAGACACTAAGAGGAAGCACGGCATGGGAAGGTGTGCAGTAACCTGTGATGGCCAGCCAGCCGCGCGCGTACGTATGCACACTGCACACACTGTCACTACGGAGGATTTTCTCACATAGTGTAGACGGTTGATGCCTGTCCACTAAATATATACGATTCATATTCAAAAATAGTTTCAGGTGGATTCATTCAATGTTAGGTTGTCCCGTATCGTTTTGCAGGGTCTTGCAGGTTCGCACATATAGCACTGGAGAAATCATGACAATTTACAGGGGTATCTTGTTTGAACGTCTCATATCACTTTCCACGGACAACTCCAAATCGCAGTCTTGGATAATGTCAATGACGCTCCTTTTGAAACCGACAGATCGACTCATACGGAGATGTATGTTTTTGATCTTTTTTGTACTTCTCAGGCAATTGGTCTAGCCAGTTGCCTACTATATATATATATATATTATAGGAATATGTTAAAAACATGTCAAAACTTTCTCGTACCGGGGCGTCACCTGCCTTCGGTTGAATCACCAGTCACATGGTTGAGCTTGCTGACCGGTCCGGACGCGGACATTGGAAGAGACAGGACGAGAGAACAAAGCGACTCTTTCACGGTGGATGGAAGAAAGCCATCGAAATCCTGCGTCATCGTATGCATATTTTATACATGTTTATAGTAATTTCAATATATATATATATATGCTAATATACATTTATAGATAGATAGATAGATAGATAGATAGATAGATGCCCAAACATGCACTGGTTCTCTCTTGTCCCAGGAGCTGGATGTCTTCTTTTGATTATGCTGGCAATACAAACGACCAAATCTGCAGGTGAAAACCAGGTCAGTCTTGCAGGCGTCCCCGATCAGGTGAGTCGGCTTGTCCACCATGTCTGCATTCTCGTCCACATCCTGATGTGGCCAATGAGACCCAACGAGGAACAGATATGCAAAGAAATGTGGACATGGGTAAGGAAAAAGACATCCCCATTCTACTATGGTAATAGCTGGTAACAGTGATAAATAAGTGAAATCAGAATATGCAGAACATGATATTTTGACATCCAAACAAAAGAAAAGAACAGGTGGATCTCAAAATGCGACTCCTCTCCAATCAGTCGATTCAGTACACGTTGCAAACCAATTCCCCCTTTTTCTACACAACAGAACATGCCTTGAGGAGCTGCAAGGCAATGGGCTCGGAGAGGCGTGCCAAACCTGTCTGCTCATGTGGACTCTTAATTAATAACCCCGCACCATTTGGATTGAAAAGCTCTTCAAATCTCTTCAAGCTTGAAAGATCAAGAGTCCACAAAATATGGAAATTACCTGCGCACAGAGTGAAATCCTGACAAACGACGACTGCATCGAAAACAGAGTGGTTTGAGACCAACAACCTTAAGTACTCCCTTTCCGTGCTGGCAGGAGACCAGAACCAACCTTCGAAAGGTCAATGTCGCTGCAAAGTTTCCCACTTTTATTCAGCTTCAGGACTCGCCCCTTGACCGTCGCAGACAAATTCGCGGTCTCGTCCTGAGTGTTTCAGACAAGTCACCTGAGAGTCACCTGCTTGGTGGTTTTTTTTCGAGCCAAGCAGGTCTCTTTTCGTCACAAAATCCGTTTTACCGAGTAAAGAAACCGTCTCAAATCTCAACATGAAAGAGCCCTCTCCATTTGGCTGTGGGTCAAGTCAAAACCAGGGATATCGCTTGTGCTCCGAGACGTTACGCTAAATGGACGGGTCAGGCTCCAGTTTTTGACCCATTCCCGGCACCGCATGGGGAACTGAGCCATCGACTCCTTCTGCTTCTGTCTCTTTTGCAGGCCACTCGGCCCAATCGGCCTGACAGTACTCCCAGGTGTGGCCTATGAGGCTCTGCTGAACATGCCCAACAAATCACACAAACCAGTGGTCCTGCTCTTCCTGCTGTTCTTCCTGTGGCTCGTTCAGTGGCTCCGGTACTTCTTCCTCGACTTCCTCCTCCTTTGCCTCTTCATTCAGCTTCTGAATTGCCTGGGCAGGAACACGCAAGCTAATAAGCGCTCTATCAATTAAGTATATCAATAATATTTTAGTCATTATAAATTCATATTATACAGTAAATGCAGTGTGTTGTAGTGTCCCAAAAGAGTGTGCACGTTCTGGATCGCGAAGAACATGCGGCAGAATCTCCCTGAGGATCCGTGTTTCGACTCACTCGGCGAGCGTCGAAGAACGGGCGAAGAAAGACACTCTATCAGGAACAGTGAAGTTGTATATGTGCAAATGTGCCTTCATAAGCAGCATAGGACTCTCCTGTATGTCTCGGCGCGGCGTTGTTGAGTGTGTCTTGGCTTTCGTGTCTCTCTCTCTCTCTATCTTTTCTCTTCTCTTCCATCGAGTCGGTCCCATGTTCAAAGAGCCGCTGCGGCGCGTCCGTCGCTCGCCGTGGCACGGCCGTAAAACGGCGCCGTTGCGCCTCGAGGACCTTGGCCGTGGGATCTTCGTAGTTGCCGGCGTCCTCGGCCACGGATTGCAGGAGCTCCAAGGCTTTCTCCACGTCCATCTCGGTGAGCTTCCGGGCCACGGCACCCAGGCGAATCTCCTTCTGAAAGAAACCGGTGCCATTGAGCTCTCGGATCTTATCCGTAATGCGCTTGTTGACCTTGACCACCGCAGGCGCCATGGATGAAGAATGAGAAGAAGAAGAAGGTTCTTTGATCACTCTGCTGTTCTGATCACTTCGCCAGCAGCTTGTGGTTGGTTGAAGGGACTAAATGGCCACTCACTGTCTGCTCACTCTTAAGATTCTGCATATGCCATATGCAATCCTTCAGTGTATCGTGATCTTTAAAGCAAAATCGCGGCGGCTCAGAGGATATCCACGACCTAGAAGTGCATCAGCCAAGTGAACAAGGGAATTCAGAGGGAGAATGATCTTCGGACGTCTTTCCATCTTCTTCCCCGTCCGTCTGCACGACCGTTCTGAATTCTATGCCCGGGCCAGCGGATGCTGCTCACGGTGGGATGCGGTCTACGACGGCCTTTTTGGCGCGGTGGAGACCTTCTTGTTTTTTTAGAAATAGAAAGAGTTTCCAAGAGACTACTAAAAAGCTACTCGGCGGAGGCCATCGCTATTGGGTTGGAGGCCATTGCTACTAGGAGCTACAAGAAAACTAGAAAGCTTTCTTGTTACTAAGAAGCTTCAGCCATGTCTTTTCAGTGACTTTTTATTGTCGAAACAAGTGTTGATTTGCGTAACACCATATGGACATGCACACTCGGGAAGAAGAAGGACTCCGACCAGGAATGATGGCTTGCTCAGCTGTAGCTGGCGACAAGCGCTCGTTGCTGCTATGGTACAAAACAACCCCCTGAATGACAGTGAAGGTCACTCAATGGAAGGTATTAAAGGGTCTCAGGTGGATCCTCCTCATCCAATTCTGCTTCAGTTTCCTGCATGGACCGATGTTGCTTTCTCGACGCAGAATCATACAATCCAACCGCCAGACTCAGACTCCTCACATGTGTATAATTGTTTAAATACACATCCACATGCGCACACATACCTGTAGTGTTTCCAATGCATGCATGCAATCATCAAGATCAGTTCCTGTTACAGAATCGATATGTTATGTTTACACACACTAATATACACATTCCCCACCACAGAAAACGTGCTAATGTCGCAAGCAATTTCAGCCTGTCCTCCCTCAGGCGTGCCGACATTTGGCTGAGGAAGCGAGCCTCGTTAACGCGACGAGGAACCGTTCGGCCTGGCTATCGCCTTTGACTCGACGACTCCGGTTGGAGAGCTCAATGTGCGTGAAGGAGGCACAAACACGTGGTGGAAATGGAACATGGATGCACAAACCCTGGCGATGGAGGATGGAAATGTTCCTCACAACTGGGCGGTGTTCTACTATCCCTTGATCTTCCATGCACATAAGGATGTACATAAGGAATGCAGGGAACGCTGCATGGCGTCCGATGTGTGACACAGCGCAGCCCGAGGATGGCTTGATCACGCGCCTTGATCACGTCCTTGCGACCACCGGGGCCTCTCCTGGTCGCAACTCGGAAGGCGGAACCCAAAACAGCTTGACAAACACAAGACTAAACAGAACTGCTTTGGGGCCCTGACTTTGGAGCGGCCCTTGCCTTGCCAAACATCCAAAGGGCAAAAGCGGGAAAAGTATAATTACAAAAGTGCAAAGGGAGACACATGGCACCCTCCCTAGGGCTATTGAGGGATTAGATCAGTGATGAGGCTTGTCTCGGAGCGGTGGACTCCTCAGTGATTTTGCAAAAGGTTTCTGCAGCAAAAGTTTTCACGTGCCCTCTACGCGCGCGTTCGGAACCAGGTGCGATGGACGTTTTTAGGTCATCCGAAAATTGCGTTTCGGATGTGCAATTTAAAGCACATCTACAGTTTACTGCGTTTCACACACGAAAGCTGCGATTTTGTCCCGTAAGAAGTGGGTTGTAAGATAAACATGGGCTCACATTGCCCCAAAAACCCAGGGGATCTTAACGAAAGGTACTAGCCAAAAGGCCATCGGAAAGGTTTCTTCTCAAGTGGTCACGCGTCGGGGGGAGACCTACTTCAGTTAAACACTGCACAGGAAGGGGTGGCCTACTTTAGTTAAACACTGCCTAAACTCTTTCCTCCTTAAGGCACATATTCCCTAAATAAATGAAGGTCCAACCTTTCCTCCTTTAGACTTAAGACCCAAAAGAGAAACGTACACACACTTTCTTCATTTAACGTAGCAAGGAACGTCAACCACACTTACACATGCACTGTCTTCATTTGACGTAGACGGGCACGATGTGCTTCATTTAACGTAGAAAGGAGCATCAACCACGCTTTCCTCACGCAGCGTAGACAAGAGGGTCAACAGTCTTCCTGTTACGACACACGGATCATCAGTCTATCCGGACGTGACTACAGTACCAGGCCATCCCACCCCCCAACTAAACGTGACAGGCGTGGGTGGTTGTAGCTGGCGTGAGCAAAAGCAAGTAAGAAAACTACAATGCCCCATTCGTCGTAGCATCACTGATCTGGCCCTACTGATTTGAAACCTAACTTTAGCTCAGTGAAAATGTGAAAAGGTGTGCCATTGCTTCAACGCAAAAAGGCCTGATTCTCCAGGTCCTCCAGAACACTCTCCCCAAGATCCGCCTGAACAGCAAAATAGACACGTTCAACAAAAAGCAGAACAAACGCTCCCCAAGCTCCCACGTTGCGACAGTTGCATGCTGCTGAATGGACGTTGACAGTGCCAATATATGCCAACGACTGTGCCAATGACCCTCAACTCCCTGGCTGTTTTCCCCGCTGGGCACTCCTCCTCATCATCCAGCTTGATGTCACCGGGGAGTGCTTGGTGGTTGTTGAGACCTTGTAAACCCAAGGCATTGGCCACTTTTCGTAAGGAGAAACGCTCTCTCTGGGACTCTGACTCAGCCATAAGCACTGCTTCGGACCCTCTGGTCTTTGCAGGAACCGTCGCAGTGCACTTGCATGGCGCTTATCAAGTCGCGAATCCTCGGGCGATCGGCCGATAGTGCTGGGTTTTCTGGTCGGAGCAGCTGGACGTCCCAGCGAGCTCCAAAAAATGCCACGATGGTTTGCTGGTTTTCTCCAGAGTGTTTCACTTATGTTGTCGAAAGAACGACGTGTGGCTTCCCATCCGTGAACACGCTCAAACGACAGGGAGAAATCTGGTCTAGCATGGTTTAGCAAGCCGGGTAGCCAAATTCACACTTGTCAAAACAGGATCTGCTTGCAAAGGAGTGTCAGGTTCATCTAGCACCACGAAAGGAGCTAAAGCTTCTTGCATGCCACTGATGAACCCCGGGAGCACGAACAACATGCTCAAGGCACAAATATCCCTGCAGGATTTGAGGTGGCTTCGGTGCGCACAGACTCATTAAGAACGTACCACAACATCGAAAAGAGAGATGTGTGTGTGTGTGTCCCACCCTGGACAAAGGGTTTTTCCACCACCACCACTCCACAAGCAGGGGCGTGCAGCATCTGTGGTCCACTGCACGCAACGAAGCTACGACCACAGATGGGAAGGGATCAAGGACGCTTGATCCTGTACCTGCAGAATAACACATTGACACCAATGGTCCACCCTGCTGCTGTTCGTTGGTTTCATGGTTTTTTCCTCATGATACCCTCCCAAAAAACAGGTTTCCCACCGCCACTTTTGCAGCTGCTTTGCGCCGCTTCGTCACCGCAGTCAAGGGAAACAACTTTTGTTCAAACACCTTCAAGTTTCTCGGACTTTTCGCCATGCTGTTCCACCGCCATTCTTCCCAACGTGGTAACTGAGTTCACTGAATACAAGTGTCAGAGTGTGTTGTTTTTCTCCGAATACAAAAAAACGTTCCAACAGCCTTCTTTCTCACCCAAACAAAAGAGCGTGTGTGGACACATACGCTCGTCCACTCGCCGTCTTTCCAATCGTTCCGAGTCTGTCTTTCGCATCCAACCTTGCACCGTCCGATAAGCTGTTCAAAGGCGTGCCATACCCAGAGCTCGCTCCGCCACGCCGTGCTGAGGTCAGCAAGTCAAAGGAGCCATCAGGCAAACGTCGAAGCTTGGCTTCGCCACCCTCACCCCACTCCTGCGATCCCAACAAAATCAAACATGCACATCCGATAAATGATAAATGCACATCCGATAAAGCACTGGAACACTATGGAACATGATGAACATGCTTCAAGAGGAAATGACGAAAGGACAATGAGATGTTTCCATCTCTAAAACTCAACCCCGCTTTGCCTTCATTTTTTCCAAAGCTTTTTGCTGGGGAGAAAAAAAACACAAAAACAAACAGCTCTTGATGGTCTGCCACGGTGTGTGAATCTTGGGGGTTTTCAGGGCTCTGGGCTCTGGGCCTTTCCATCTCGGTCGTCCTCCAGAGTGTCATCCAAGGGCTCCCGCGTGAGCTCCCGGTACACTTCATCGATGCGTCGCGTGAGCCAGGCTTCCGCAGCTTCACGGGAGAGTCTCGCGTTGACGGGTCCGGTCCTGCGGTGGCACATCGGTGAAAGGCCATTGGTGAAAGCCATTGGGGGCATCGGAGTTGACCACTGAAGAGAGCTTACTTGGTGGGCGCGGAAAAAAGAAGCCCAACACGACCAAGCACATGTTTCAGAGCCCATACACCAGGAATCATAATCTTCATCTGACAGGTTTTCGGAGTGTTTGAGCCATTTGCAATGTGCTGATTTTCTGCGCAAGAGTTTACAACCAAAAGGAGGTGTAAGCGAGGATGCACGGAACATGATGTACGACTTGCGCGCTTTGTCAACTGGATCTGGATGAATGGTATCATTGTGATGTGTGTGTGTGTGTGTCTGCTGCTACGGCTCCTGCTCCTGCTCCTGCTCCTGCTCCTGCTGCTGCTGCTGCTGCTGCTCCTGCTCCTGATCCTGCTCCTGCTCCTGCTCCTGCTGCTGCTCCTGCTGCTGCTCCTCCTGCTGCTGCTGCTCCTGCTGCTGCTCCTCCTGCTGCTGCTGCTCCTCCTGCTGCTGCTGCTCCTGCTGCCGCTCCTCCTGCTGCTGCTGCTGCTCCTCCTGCTGCTGCTGCTGCCGTTGTTGTTCTTGTTGTTATTGTTCGATGATATGAGTCTGGTTCCAAGAGTGGGGGATGACCCAAGTGAAGGAGTTGAGCAGATCAGCGGCCTCACAACTACTTCTGGACGAGCAACTGTTACGGAATGTTATAGTCTGAATGAATTGCTCAACCTTGATCATGATTTGCTGGACAGCAACATCTTCTTTCCCAAATCTGCTGATCTTCCACATCAGAATAGAATGTCTATGCGGTGAGTAGTGCCTGAATAAGTTAGATTTGGCGACAGGATGGATGATTCTGCAAATTGCAGTCCTTGCTGCACCCTTTGTTGTGCACCTCCGCTTCAGCAGCGACCCAGAAGTATTTCCTTCCTGGCAGCCAAATGGAGAATGAGGTTGACTGGGAAGGCTGGACAAGCTTATTCCCACCATAATATTTTTATTCCCACCATAATATATAACTATATAACTATATACATATATCTCATGGATGTGTATTTAAAATATGGCCTCCCACAGACCTCCCGGAAGAAGGACAGACCAAAACCCGGTGTCCCACAGATGGTCCCTTCACCACCCCCCGGAACGCATTGCGCAACGCGACGGCTTCGTTTCTTGATCTCCGCCATGGCTCCGCGCCGACTTTCTCAATCTCCGCTGGAAGCATGGCCAAAAGACCTGTTGCACTGCGGGAATCCATCAGTCCAAATTGCGGTAGAAGGAGATCACCCTGGCCCCACCTGCGCAGAAGATCGAGCGGACGAAACTGGACGAACGGCATGTTCTTCTTTTTCGAAGGAGAAGCCGAGCCGCCTAGGCCTAGCCCGCCTGATCCAAATGTTGTCTTTGCACGCCCGTTCTTCTTCGGTCTATCGATGTAACATGATGTAGGTATCGTGCTCTTTGAAGGAATTCTACTGAATTTGTTGCTTCCAAGCCACATAAGAGCTTGCTGTAGCCATGCAAGGTAACCTTCTTCGGAAACTTCCTTCAATTCTGCTTCCTCCTCTTGGACCCAATGTTGTAGAATGTATGCATCCTTAAGAGATCGGTCTGGGTGCACTCGCACTTCACGGATCAGCAACATGGTACCTGCACGGCTGCACGCTGAAACCTACAGAATGCTGCAGAAAGCTCAAGGCAGATCAAGGCAGCGCAACGAAGCAACAAATGGATGAATCTTATGTCACTCATGTCACACTTGCTTGCCTTCTGATCCTGCTCGATTCTGTCTATCTAACTAGCAGTCCTATGAAGTAGTCCCTTGAAGATCTTTCAAGCACATGCTGCGCCTTGGCTTGTGCCTTCCTCAGCTCGCTCATAGCGGAACTGAGCGGTCACCCGCGCAGCGGTCGCCATGGGCTTGCCCCGTCGAATGTAGCTTCGGAGGCTCCGATCGCATCGTCGCGCTAGAACGAAGCGCAAGGCATCCAAAACAGCGGATTTGCCACTGGAATTGCACCCAACAAAGCAAAACAGGGAGCGCCCCTGGAACTGAAATTGCCGCCTCTTGAAGGACTTGAAGTCCTGGACTTCCAACGACATCAAGCGTGCTCGAGCTTTCCCGCGCCACGTTGGCCCATCGGCCACACGGACGTCGGTCTCCAAGCTGGGGTCCACTAAGCATAGCAACCTGTGGGGGTATAACGAGGTCGGATTTCTTCACAGGTCTCGGTCTCGATAAAGACTGCCTTTTTTTTTGAGTCTAGCTGGATCTATATATGTATATAGACCCATATTCATATACACTTTTATATACTGTGTATATTTATATGACACATTATGACACTGTGTGCGTGCGTGTGCAGGGTCGCCGGCAGCAAGCTTGTTGCTAAGATGCACATGTGCAAATATTAGGGCTTTTCTGTCAAACCCCTGCAGCTGAACGCCCCAAACAACTCGTCCACTTGGAAATGTTTGTCTAAGACGCTTTGGTCGTCTAGTTTGACAACCTTTGGGAAGCTCAGACAACCTTGGTGGGTGCAGTGCAGTCAAAGAAATAAGAGCTGGTCTGAAAAGCTGTCGATGGAAGAGATTTGGACAAACAAGCTTGCCAAGATGCTCGCTCATCTTGCCAGTGCCCTTTCCAAACTTCATAGGGGCAGACAAGGAGACTGCCTGAGCCGGCTCTGGCTGGACTGGCTCGCTATGCTGCACAGGAGGCTGCGATGCAGGCTGCGCAGACTGCGCGGCAGGCTGCGCAGACAGCGCGGCAGGAGGTGCAGCAGGTGTTACTGCAGGCAGCGCGGCCGGCAGCACGGCCGGCGGCGTGGCCGGCGGCGAGGCAGTCTGCGCAGGAGATTTTGCCGGAGGAGCAGCCTTCGCTTGGGCAGGCCGCACAGGAGCGGATTGCTTTCGTGCTTCTCCTGCAAATGAGAAACCGTGTGAAAGCAACATGCCTCTGACACATCTCCTGTTCAAGCTGGCAATGATGTTTTGTTCAAGAAATTGAAAAAATGTGCTCCTTCAGTGTATCTTTTATTCTTCGTGGAACTACTGGGTACTTTTGGCTCTGCAGCTTCCGCAGGTGGCTCTGCAGCTTTCACTGAAGGCTCTGCGTTCTCTGTTCTTTTCTCTGTCTGCTGCTGTGATTCAGCAGGCATGGAAGCTTTTGGAGGAGATCCTGCGGGTCGAAGAGCTGCCTGTACTAAGCTTTGATAGCTCAGATTTGGAGGCAAGTAGCCTGATTCAGGTGTTCCAGAAACCGGAAACTTGAATGGCGAAAAGGGCCCGGAATCATCTTCCAAATCATCTTCCACAAGGAAGACGGGCTGCGGAGCGGGAGGAGTCACTGGTCCCACTGGTGCAGTGACTCTGCGTTTTTTCAGCAGCATCTCTCGGAACAGGAGCAAGCTGCCTATTATTCTATCCTGAGCAACGTCTGTGTTCGTTCTTTCTTGGAATCTTAGTCAAGTGCCAATGGCAGTCCTGTTTCATTTGCAACATCATGCCCTGCTCAACTGTCTGTGGTAAAAGGATTTGTTTGCAATCGAGTTGAAGCTGTCCCTACCCCTACTGTGTCTCCAATTCAGAGCCACGAAGCTAGGGCAATATCAATATCTTCACGCCTCAAATTGCAGTATTTCTTGGTGCCGTTTTGCATTAAGTGGATCACGCGACATCAAAAACATTCAAAAACCAACGTCATTTTCCAAGGGCGTTTGGGCACCACTGTGGGCCAACAGATGCATTAACAAAGGCAACTAGAGTTGAGATCACTGCAGTCTTTGCAGTGCTAGTTGCTCCCTAGGCTTCCTAGGCTTCACAACTGCCTCATGGATATCCACTGGATCCTAGGTGCACAAGTTGACTCCATCAGACACATCGGCCCGAAACAAGCGGATCCCCATTCTCGAGCTTTCGAAGCCACGAAAATGATCACAGAATGTTTTCTGGGGTGTTCTGCCGCTCTTTGCCTCAGAAAGGTGTTGCGTCCAACCGGTGTCAATCGTGCACTCGTGTCCAATCCCAGACTAACAAGTCCAGACTCGACCCACATCCAGATCAATATCCTCAGTAGCCGCAGCGTAGGCGGCACCTGAAACTGCCAGCGAAAATCGCAGGGTTACCAGGCATGAATCATGATTGACAGTATACCTTGCAATCCTCTGAATGCTCATGAGTGCGATGTCAACACGCCAGCGCCGGCCTGCTGCCTCCTGCTGAGCTTCCGCAGACATTCCAAGACTTGCTGCCTCACCAAACTGCTTGGGTTGGCATTAACGGGTGCAAAACAACTCAAGACTGGTTGGGTCTGGCGGTCTCGCTGTTTTGAGACAAACCATAGACAAACTGATTTGTCCATCCGAGCAGTTCTGAGTCGATGGCTGTTGCCAGGGCAAAAGACCGAGCAATCTTGCCCCGCTCTTCACCACTCGTCCACGTGGCAGCGGCCGCGGCGGCTTCCGCCGCGATCGCCGTCTTCTCTTCCACGGTCATGCTGTAGCGATCGGCCACTTGCAGAGCAGCCTTGCAAGCCTCGTCGAGCTGACCCTTTTGTGTCAGGGGCTCCTTGGCCCTGGCCCCAGTTGCAGCTGCTTCCGCCGCCGCAAACAGCGCTTGCAGCCGGGGCGGCATCTTGGCCTTGGCCGCCGCGGCTGCGGCGGCCACCGCGGCATCACGAGCTTGCAGAACCGCATCTCCGCCAACCTCGAGCAATTGTCAAAGGGATCCATTTCCCAGCGGCTCTCGGCCAAACGTTCCACGGCGTGTACGTGCGGAGGCATCTTCAATGGATCTCCCCCACCCAGCATGAATCCCAAACAGTTTTTAATATGTTGCAATGCTTTTGCACATGGACATCTAAAGAGTCAGTGCGAAAAATGATGCTTCCAAGTCAGGCGGGAAAGGGGATCTTCTTTTCCCGTTCCGAGGATTGGAAACCAAGCAGCTCGCTTCATGGCCTGAGCAGCCTCTTCTGCTGCTGTTGTTGCCTGTTCCCGTGCGGCCCGGACCTTCTCAGCAAAGGCCTGGGCCTCCTCCTGGCAGGCTCAGTCCTTTTCGGTGAAAGTGCCTTCCCCTCGCTTCTCACTCATGAAAGTGCCTTCCCATGTCGCTTCTCACCTCCTCGCTGCTCTCCGCGCCAAAACCACGACCGATCCCAGACAAAAAAAAAAAACAGCGAGCACCTCCTCACGAACTAAGCGTGCTCGTCGATCTTCCGACTCCATGGACTGCCGGTCATGTTCCAGCAGAAACCTGGGAGCGGAAGCCGTCTCATTCAGACAAGCGAAGCAAGACAGAACACTCTGAGAAAAAACCGGGGAACTCCGGTCACCTGTCGGTGTCCGAGCCCTTTTTACGTGCGTGGACTGTGAGTAGGAAATAGCAGGAAGAGAATAGAAAACCGACAGAGAGGATGATAACTAGTAACAAGTTCTTTACTACTAGTAGAAAGAAGCTACTAGTAGCAAGGTGCCTTACTAGTAGTAACAAGAAGCTACTAGTAGCTCTTGGCATTACTACTAGTAGCTCCTGGCATTACTACTATAAGAAGCTAATTGCTACTAGTAGTAATGCACTTGTTACTACCCCAGCTCCAAAGAGTTGGAGATCTTTGACGGCCGTTGATGTTCATACAGAATACAGCCACCCAAGTCCACCCAAACTCCCAAGATCCCGAGTTCTGAATTCGCGCACCAAGCCGGCCGCGGCCAAGCTGCTACAGACCCAGTCAAACCCGGTCGAAGAAGCATCACGCCGAGGAAACAGACCGGGACAATCCCCCAACAGAGCTTTTGAAAGGAGACTTGGACAAGGCTCACACAGAGTTTGCGTTGGCCGCAGACACTCCAGCCTTGTTTCCAAGAGCGTTGGCGAAAGAGAGAAAGAAAGAAAGCAAACAAGCACGCACGCAAGGAAAGCAAAAAAATGAGAACGCAAGCAACCAAAGCAAGAAAAACAGACAGAGATGTATATATAATATATGGGAGTTGATCTAAATTCCTTTATCCGGGATCCGTCATTTTCGCCAAAAAAAATACATTCGCCAAACTTTCGCCTTCCTGCGTTTTATCTTTCGCCGAAGTACGTTGTATTTATGTGTGCCATGTATGTTGTGTTTTGTTCACGTCAATGGCTTCTTCTTTACTGGCAAACACAAAATAGAAATTTCACTGTTTGTCAGCATGTGTCTTCTACTTAACTGTTGACACCCTGTACGTCTCTTTTGTTTCTCCTGGGTGTCAGCAAGAGTCAAAAATGCAAGAATCACTGAAGTAGCCGGTCACCGAAACTTATTCATAATGGGCTGGGGGTCAGATGTGGCAGGGTGAACTTTCGCCAATCTTGAGCTGAACTTTCGCCAAACTTTCGCCTTTTGCGGGGTAGAGTTTTGTGGCAAAGCCACCCCCCAAAGCAGGAGCAGGAATAGTGGGAATAGTAGGAATAGTAGGAATAGTAGTAGTAGTAGTAGTAGTTAGTAGTAGTTAGTAGTAGTTAGTAGTAGTTAGTAGTAGTTAGTAGTAGTTAGTAGTAGTTAGTAGTAGTAAGTAGTAGTAAGTAGTAGTAAGTAGTAGTAAGTAGTAGTAAGTAGTAGTAAGTAGTAGTAAGTAGTAAGTAGTAAGTAGTAGTAGTAGTAGCAGTAGTAGTAGTAGTAGTAGTAAGTAGTAGTAGTAAGTAGTAGTAGTAGTAGTAGTAGTAGTAGTAGTAGTAGTAGTAGTAGTAGTAGTAGTAAGTAGTAAGTAGTAAGTAGTAAGTAGTAAGTAGTAAGTAGTAGTAAGTAGTAAGTATAAGTAGTAGTAGTAGTAGTAGTAGTAGTAGTAGTAGGTAGTAAGTAGTAGGTAGTAAGTAGTAGGTAGTAAGTAGTAGGTAGTAAGTAGTAGTAGTAGTAGTAGTAGTAGTAGTAGTAGTAGTCGTAGTCGTAGTGGTAGTGGTAGTGGTAGTGGTAGCAGCAGCAGCAGGTTATCTAACTTCCACAGCTCATCTAGCTTCTGAGTCACTGCCACCAGCTGTTCAGAAAGCAAATGAACATTCATACAAAAGTACATATTTAATCTTTCGCCAGATCTTTCGCCAAAAAAAATTTACTTTCGCCAACTCGAGAAAAAACTTTCGCCAAATGAGATTTTGATATGTTCCGGGTCATCGTCATACACACTGCTGACTAGGACCTTTAGATCGACAACCATATACACAAGAGAGAGACACAAAAGGTGAGCGCCAATGTGCATGATCATGTGTAGATGTCCAGGCCCAACCAGTGAAGCGGGCTGAAACAGCGCACACGCCTGAGATACTTGTTGAACTCCTTCGAGGACTGATCTTCTTTCATCATGGCAGTCTTTTCTCGGTCCCTCTTAGACCAGTCCTGGTCACTCCATCACAGGTGGTCAAACTGAGCGGAACTGCATGGTGGGCCTCAAACTGGTGGCTCTCGTGGTCCGCTTGTCCCATTTCCTCAGAGCGTCCGAGCGCTGCCTTTATGATCTTTATGTGAGTGTACTGACGAGCAAGTTCCAAATATTTGGGTCTATCCTATTGCCAGAAACAGTGGATGATGATGGTTCAGTTGCAGGCCTCGTTCCAAAATAGTAATGTTCTTGCTTACTGACTGTTACAGGTCTTCTTGGACAGATTTTTTTAATACTCATCCGGACCGGAGCGACCACCATTGCAGTCTCCCCAGCGACCACATCACACCCCTGCAGTTCAAGGCTCAGGGGTCTCTCGCACCATGACCTCTCAGAACGAAGAGGCACAGAATGGCTCAAAGGACAGTTTCTAATAGCAATGGCCTCCAACCTACTAGCGATGGCCTCAAACCTAAT